AAAGTAAGAGTCCTTGAAGCTTGTAAATCACCTATATTTTTATTTTTTTTTAAATTTGATCTAACTGAAAATCTGCTCTGAATTGAAAAATAATGAATCCAACAAAACTATGATATTATTTAATTAGAAAAGTTTTTAACTGCTTTTATAAAGAAGTTATATTAAGGACATTATTGTCTGAAGAAATAAAATTTTTTTGATGAATAATAAATTTTTACAAGAATTTTTTAATTTTTTTTTAATTTTAATTATAATAATTTATAATAGTTTAAAATCGTATAAAATTATGTATTGGGCTATTTTATGGATGTAATATAGTAATTAAGTGGAAACAAAATTTACAAATTCAAAATTGTAATGATTAAAATATAGTTGCACTGTTCTATTTTTAAAATAATATTTTATTTTGTATTTTTTTGCTTAATACATTCTTTATTTTCATGTATGGTAGGCTGAAATTGCCATTATTATGAAAAAGGTCACATGATTTAAAAGTTTTGTCCCTTAGTAGGTTACGGCAGTTATGTTTCAACAGGTTTTCAAAAGTTTAAAATTTAAAGTAAGTTTTAATTTTTTCAATTACTATTTTGCTAAATATTTTTTTATTTTATGTGTTTACATTAGTGTGGGTCATACTTCAACTGAGTAATCATGGTATTTCATTTGTTATTAAATTATAAAATTAATTGAAGAAAATTTTAGAGTATTTTAAATTTTTTATTTTTGCCTGCTAGAAAGGTAAATAAAAGTCAATATTAAATAATTGTGGAAAATATGTTCATTTGTAAAAATTACGAGGTAGTTAAAATCCAAAAAGATGCATTCACTTAGATTTCTGATAATTATGTCAGTTCGGGTCATCAATAGTAGCTGTCATCGCTTCATCAATCAGCAGTCCATCAAATGAACAGATCAGATGAACAGGACCAATCATTAATAATTGGGTTGTATATTACTTTTTTATGCTATAAGTGAGTAATATTTATTTCAAATCAGATTAATTTAACTTTTAATTTTTTTAATTTTACTCAAATAACATGTCAGCAATATATATGTATTTATTGAAAGAATTTCAAAATAGAAAAATTTTTTGGGTTTACAAATTTCTTAAAAAAAATTTTAAGAAATTGAAATTAAATTTGACACTCCAATCTATATAATTTCTATCTGAAATACACCAGAATATTTTAATTAATGGAAATAATAAATTTAATCATTAAGCTTTCAATTAAAGCTAAAATGAAATCTTCAAGAAAGCTTTTTCATTTATAAAATTTAATTTTAAAACTTAGGTATCGAAAATTCAGAGGAGGTTTAGCTCTTGAAAATATATTTCAATTGAGCACTGTTGAATGACAAGCTGATTCTATAAACAACAGCCACCTGCACTAATGCAAAATTCTTCAGTAAAATGAATATTGGCATTTGTTTACATTCGTAAAAGCAATACACTGGATTTAACTCTTTCATTCTGTTGAATAAAGATAGCACAGTGGTAGAAACTCTGACTGACACCAAATTGGTTGGGGTTCAATCCTGGCTTTAGGCATTCGGATGTCTAATCACACTGAGGAACTATGATACAGTGAAACAGTACAGTCTGCAAATGACATTATATATAATTTCAACTTTTACAGTTCTTTCTCCAGTGGTTTTCAGACATTATGACACCCTAAAACTAAGCTTTATGTACATGACACCCTCCTCTTACAAATACTACAGATAGATGATGTTGCACTAAAAATATATGGGAACTGCAATATAAACTTTTATTTATCCTATCTCTTAAGGATATCATTGAAATAAAAAAGTAATGTTCATATATATAATTTTTAAATCATACATTTTAATTTGACCTTTAATCTAAATTTGCTTCAATTGGAAATTTGACAAGTCTTCAATATTATTGATATTTAAATTTTTAAACTTTATAACACCACCAACAAATAGGTACAAAATGCTCATGTGCAATGAGACCCTGGTTGAAAATTAATGTTTAGTTTTGAGGGTTAGGTTAAAAGAGATTGGGGAGCATGGAGATCAAGTGACAACAAGATGCACCATAAAAACACAACAATACTCAGTGACTTCAACAACATAGTACCATTCAGTTCTTCTATCCTTTCCTATATTCTGGGCAATTTTATAATTCCATCCTTCCAAAACTTTTATTTTTCTCAACTGATCTATGTATCTTTTGAAGTATTTCAGCAAACTGAATTTTTTATTTAAAGAAATCTGCAATGGATAGAATAAATGGTAATGCAAAAACTGGAATATCTGGTGATTACAGCAGATGAAAAATTCTCACCCAAACTAACAATTTAGGTCTGGTCAACAAAGAAAAACATGGTCTAGCATTATGCTAATTAAATATAATAGCTTTTTTTAACTACTTTCAAACACTTTTCATTGATTGCTGACTTTGGGTGGTCTAATTTTGGAGTAGTGTATGTTTGATTCACTCAGTTATTTGGAATGAACTCATAGTAGAAAATACTCTTCTGATCTTACCATGTACACAGAATTACCTCTTTAGATGAAGACAGGCTTTGGCTTTGTTAGTCAGGGTTCATTTTGTTTAGCTACTTTCCATAATCCTCAATGTTGCTGCAGCAAGACAAGTGGTTCTGAAAGGGTCCGTCCCTGATCAGATCTCCAGGGGTATGATCACAATGTTGAAAAAGAGTAAGGATGGTGGGCAGGATTTATATGATTATAGGCCCATAACTGTGCTAAACACAGAGTTAAAGGTTTTGGCAAAGATCCTGATGGATCATTTACAGTCAGTTGCTAAGGGTTTGTTGGGACCAGAGTAGACTTCTGCTGAGAAGGGATGAACAATCAAGCTATGCTGATCAATTTGGATCAATCCAAAGCGTTCAATATAGTTGACCATCAGTTCCTGGCTGCTATCCTGCAGGCTGCTGGACTCAAATCCAACTTCTGCAAGTGGATCAGCCTCCTATATCACTCAGTTCAACAGGGTTGCCCACTGTCGAACCTACTTTATATTTTAGTGTTGTAGCCTTCCTTCACTGACTAAAAGACAGGGTTTGAAGTTCAGCCCTATATGGAATCATTATCCTTGGTGGTGTTCAAGTCAGGGTTTCTGCATATGCCTATGACATATCCATTTTCATGTTGTACTGCAGCAACATTGAGGAAGGTTCTTGAACAGTACAAGATGGTCATGGGAGACAAGATTAACTGCAACAAGTCTTTCAGTGTCGCTCTTCTGGGACTCTTTAGTTGGACTGACAGACATGTCCACATTCTTGGAGTGTGGTTCAAGTCTGGGCTCCAGCTGAAGAAGAATTTATCTGAAGTACAAGCAAAGGTCAGAGTGGCAGTCTGGACTTGGCTTCGAAGGCTGTTGTCTATGAAAAGTAGGACTGAGGTGTGTACCATGTATATCTTTCCTCTCATCCTTTACTGGTTGTCTATACGCCCTCTCTGCAAAAACCATAAGAAGGCACTTAAGCACTTGTTCTCCTCTTAGAAGTGATAGAAAGCATTTGTTATTGACATATTTCAGTAAAAAGGTGAGTGAAAGTAGCAAGCTTGATTCATGTGAATGGGGCTAGTCTCGATTTTCTTTTTTATGTCTCTTTTGACCCAATGGGGCAATTTCCTGTTAAACCCATCCCCTGATTAAGATAGACAGTCTTTGTTTACCTAGGTAATGTGAGTAAGTGTTGCTCCCAGCTTTCTCTTTTGTTATGGTCCATGTTGAGATTCCCAACCTCCCCAGTTTGTTTTTGTCTCCCTTTGTTTTTTCATCTTGACTGGTCAGTCTTTGATTCTCCCTCCCATCATTTATTTTTATCTTTTAGTGAGTAAGCTTCTTGACTAAAGGCAGAATACAGTGGCTACTCTCATTTTTGTGGGGTGGACTGTTATTTTTGTTTGGATGTTTCGTTATATTTTAGTTTCATTTTGTGGGTTCATCCTCTCCCCTCTCATTTCATGAGTATATATTTTTATAAGAAAAAAAGAAAAAAGAGACATTGAAATTTTGAAATTCTTATGTCATGGTGTTTTTTGTAGGTTCCCTCTGAAGATGTATTGTGGAAAATCTAGGATTGAATAGTGATAGATGAGTTCCTGTGGTGAATGAGTAAATTGTATTGAATAAATGGGTTGTGAATCTGATTAGATAGGTCTAGGATAGTTAATGCTGACCAGCCCTGCCCCACTTCTCCTTCAGCCTTGTTCCAAAATTGTTTATTAAAATAAACAAGAATGATTATTTATTGTTTAAAAACAATAAATAATCATTCTCAATAAAGATTGAAACTAACAGAAAGTGATCATCTCAAGTGAAGTTACTACAAACTAAATGTTCCTAATACCATTTTATGACAAAAACAGAACAAACTTTTTATGCTAATATTTGAATTGTACAACTGATAGACCACCAGTCTTGTCACTAAACTTGGCAGAGGCCAGAGTTCATTTTAGTAATTGGTCAAAATATATCTTTAAAATCAAGTATTGAATCTGTTAAATAAAGAGTAACTTTGAAAATAAAATAAGGATATTTGTTTTTCTTGTTCACTCTGAGTGAAACTGGGCTGATAGGTACTTAATGCATTTTCACTATATCCACTACTTCCTTTTAATAAAAGAAAAACATTTTATAACATTTATAACAATTACAATGCCAAAAGAAAAGAAAGTAGCTTCAGTTCTTTTATAAAATCATTTCTGTTATGCTTTAAAAATTGACATCACAGTATATGAAATTGTTAAAATTTCTTCAAGTTTCTATTATGGAAACACATCTATTTTTCCCTTTACAGATGTATACTATCAAATTATTGTCAAAATATGTACCATTTTAAAAGTTTTATTCTAAAGCATTAATTGGGGAAAGTCTATTTATTAATGCTTGTTGGTTAAAACTGATTCATGTCCTTTTAAAATTGACACCCCCACCACCAACACCACCACCCAAAAACAAAAGAGTGAAAAAACATATATAAATAAGGTCATACTGTAGCTTTGGATTCATAGTTAGCCAGGGTCATGGTCTGTCGCATACTCATTGACATGAGGATCTCCTGACGCAATTTTTGTTTGCCATAGGCCACTGCTCCACTGGTCACCATCAACACTTCCTTTCCTTGATTCTGGAGTTCAGAAACCTAAAAAAAAAAAACAACAAAAAAGAAGAAAACTATTTTTATTTGAAATTTGTTATATATAGGATTTGTTCAGTGACACATCACAGAAGATGAAAATATCTATCAAATGAAAGGCTGTCAGTAACTTCTTTTATTTTGGAAAAGAAATCCTGTCTGTATAGCTATTATTGGTGAGAGGCACTCACTAATTACAAACACTTCTCCTAGCAGTCATAGGCTTCCCACACATACCAGTTTGTCCAGGACTGTCTCAGTTTGAAATGTCTGTCCCAGTGCCCTGCTAGAGACATGAGCAATCAGTATTTGTTTTTGTATTATCCCCAAAGCTTAAGGAGCACAGAGCCATGAGAACCTCATGTAATTCAAGAATTTATATCTACAATAGAAACTGAAAACTGTCCTGGTTTGAGGTTTGGAAATTATGCTAAACCAAAGAAGTTCAAAACTCTTGGCAGATCTAAGAGCAAATTCCTTCCAGCTACTTGGATATTCATCTCTCCTAAAAATTGCTCAGCTGCTGCTATATGGACAGTGTCTTCTTTTCTGAAACCTCAAAACATGCTCATGTTCATGCTGTTTTTAGTCCCCAAACCTTTATGACAATTTCCGAACATAATTCACATTTTACTATTATGGCACATTCTGTAATAAAGTAAATTCTTCTCAGTTATATACATCACATAATTTCAAATTGTGACTTCACTACACTATATAGCTCTTGGCATAAGATCATATATCTATTTCTTTTCAAGGATGTCATTTTTTATGAATGGTAAAGACCAATAGACAGTCATTTGAGTGTAAGAATCAAAATAAGAAACCCAAATCAATAATGAAACCAAAACAGATATTTCAAAAATTCAACTTGAATTAATCTAAACATAATAGGACAAATTTATCCAATGAAAATAAAATTGAAAAGTTGCATTAATTTGAACTTTTAACTACAACAGCTGCACATGAATTTGTGACAGAAAGAGCAGGATTTTCCTGCTTAAATGTTTTGACAAAAACAACTTGGATGCTAAAAATTTTAAAAATATGATGCTTTTTCAAATAAGAAAGGTAAAACTTTTCCTTGATATGCATTATTCCTTGTTGTATATGAAGTAAAAGAGATGGAGCCAGGTGAGCAGAATTTCTGAGTACTATTTTTATAACCCCATTCATTTTTATAATGGAGTTATGATGAATTGTTTCATATTATACTAGGTATGATTTCAAAGGTGAAAGTTTAAACCTTCATATAAGATAAATATAATCAAAAACTGCATGTATAACATTTTATGAAAATATGGTAGGGAAGGTAGGAAGTGGTTACCTAATAAAAATTTGAACAGTATTGGCTATAATCTGAAAGAAGACAACAAAATCAAGTAGAACACACACTACATACACATAATATAGACAAAAAATAGCATAGCATTTTCTCTAAAATGAGATCACATTGAAAAGTGTGTAAAATAAAGAAAGGCAGTGCATATGAATTTACAAAAAAGAATAAGATGGTTAATCATAATGATTGATACTATGCAGGAACTTGTGCTCAGAAAAATTAAATAGAATAATACATTCTCAGCTGGTATATTCAGGACTAATAAGAATGTGGGGGCTAAAGTTCCTCAGTCATGCTATACAGGAACTAGCATATATGCTGACCTTTTTAATGTGTATAGTCTGTTATGTTTTTGGTATTTTTTGTTACCGTTAATTTTTTTAGTTTGTTTTTCAGATTAACACAATCCATTTTTGGTGTCAGTTCAAAATTTTGACACTGTGTACTGCGCCAACTGAAAAGGCAACAGTAATTTATCATAATCTCCAAGGTACATACATATATGTAGTTGGTTAATGCTAAAGTTCCTAGCACCATTTTTACACAATGTTATAGAATTTTTTTAATTGTATATGATCTTTACTCTGTATTGATTGTGGGTACATAGTCTTTCAAATTATTTGTGGAAACATGATCACTTTATTCTGGTGAAAATCATGGCTGAATATAAAATATGTTTCAACAGCTTATATTCTTCATGTTTAATCAGGGAAAAAGTGTAGTGGTAGTTAAGAAATGAATCATTAAAGACAATAGTAAATGAAAGTAAGTGTCAGGAATTATATACAAAAAATTTTAATTAAAAAACAAAGAACACTCTGGAAGAGCTCAGAATTTGAAAAATAAGTAATTTTTGAAAGAAGACATAATAACACATAAATATGAAGAAAAATCAGGCAACTAATTTTACTGAAGAAATGGACAGAAAATTTCATAAAAAAGGAGATCCATGATAATTGTCTGGAGAGTTATTTCAACAAACTTAACATACCAAAAAGATCTTTAACCAATTCAATAAATCAAAAGTGGAATTGTTATATAATACACAACAGAACTGAAGGATGACATAAGAAAAACCAAAGAAAATACTTTCATGACTGAATATATAATAATATGTATTATAGTAATACATATAGTGTAAATTTATTAGAATAAAATAGTTAAACATTTGAAAGTGTTTACATCAACCATATGCATGCACACACACACACACACACACCTGGATTCTACTCAGACATGAAAAGTTTTAAACAACAGTGAAAATAAAATCAGTAAACAATTTTGAATAAGTTGTAAAATAGAGTAAAACTTATTTTCATAATTATTTTTTTTCAAAAATATTTTTAAAATTTTAGTGAGATCTGAGATAAATATACAAATTTGCCAACTTGCTTATTATTCATAATTGAAAAAAAAAAAAAAAAAAAATTTATTATAACCCCAAATTATCAAAAATAAATGAAAATAAAAAAATTAGCAAATGCATCACAAATAATTAATTTTGACTTTTTGAATGTTAATATATACTATTATGAATATAAGGAAGAATAAAAAGATTTTTTATTCCAAACTAAAACCAACTTTACTTACAAAATGCATTACAAACTGCTTTCACAAATGTTGGTATTAAATAAACTTTCATTGTTTTAAAATGGCAACAAATTTTAAAATCTGTCTATATTTCTGAGATGAGGTATTATGTACATTATTTACATTATTCGGACTATTGTCCTCATCTTTGTCGCCATATTTATCACGTTTCAGCCGTTGTACACTCCGGCCTTCTTCAGGTGGTTGGAATTTCAAACTGAACCCTTTATTTCACTCACTGGAGTAGACTGTTCTAGTTCCACGTGCCATGTTTTGATGGATGTCAGTTATCAGTTATCTCCTGCTAAAATCCCCTGAGCCAACCAAGCATAGAAATAAATACAATATGGGAACCAGTAATAAGGAGTGCCAGAGAAAAGCAATGATAACAACAAAGTTGCAATATGAGCTCTGGTAAAAACATGCAATGATAACAGCAAAATTGCAATATGAGCACTGGTAAAAATGGTTGCTGAAGACATTAGGTTTATAATACCCAGAAATTCATACCCAGATGTCCTCAAGGACACATGGCACAGTGGATAAAGGCATTGGTTAGATCCAGTGACGACCTGGTTAAGGCAGTGGAGAACTTTCAGAGGGAAATTATCAGGAGATAACTGATAACTGACATCCATCAAAACATGGCACGTGGAACTAAAACAGTCTAGCCCAGTGAGTGAAATAAAGGGTTCAGTTCGAAATTCCAATCACCTGAAGAAGGCCGGAGTGTACAACGGCTGAAACGTTGTGATAAATATGGCGACAAGGATGAGGACAATAGTCCGAATAATGTAAATAATGTAAATTTTAAAATTTACTTCTTTATAGAAAAATAGGTCTTTACTAGCATCAAAGAGTTACACAGTAAAACTTTGAGCTCACAAGTTTAAATAACAAAAAACAATACAAACTTAAAAGAAAATAGCTATTCTGAAACAAATTTTTTACCAGGACTTGTAAAAGAAAACATACAAAATTCTAAATCTTTGTTTCGTAGATAAAAAATTCTACATGCATATTCTATACAAAGCAAGTCAGTGAACAGTTTTGTAACAGAATTTTCTTACTCACCTGTTCCACAATTGAAGCCAGTCGTCCAAGAGCAATACCACATTCATCATCTCTGGTAATAACTGCACTTCCAAGTTTGACCACTACTCGCTTAACACTCACAAGTTCTTGTCTATAGAGGACAGTTCCTCCATGCTTGAAGGTAGACACAGCAAAAGCACGCCTTGTCAGGTGAATCAGATAGTCTGTATGGCTTTGTGATTTGAAGCAGCTGTTGCACGCCAGATTATGGACATTTCTTGGTGTGGATAGTGCTCGGATCAGAGGACGATACCTGCAAACTGCTTGGCTAATCCGACCAGTCTGCATGGTTAAATGGGCTGGTTAAAAAAACAAAAACTTTTAATTAACATTATTTATACAAGAAAGGAAATTAGAGATAATTATGAATGAAAAAATATACAAAATTAAAAACACCTAACCTGAAATCAACAAATGAAATGTCTTTAAAAAAATACAGAATGGTAACTAATTTCCATATTTTTATACTGTAGTGAGAAAATGAAAGCAAGTATAACTTAACTGAAGCTTTATTCAACTAAGAATGAGGCATGTCCTACTTGATTTACTTAAATACAGAATATTTGTAAGGAGAGGTAAATCATACCACATTCTCTCCAGCTAGTTACTTGTAGGGGACAATGTCATTCCCCAAACCTGGTCTCCTGCAGGAATTTTGAGGAATATTGTGGAGGTTCACAATCAATAGCCACCTCTGACATTTGTCTTGCCTACCCAACTTTGAAGTATAAACCTTTGACTTAAAGTGTATTCTTCTATTTATAAGCCACTGTGTCTGAATTTGAAATAGTGGTGCCCATTTCAGAGTGAACTCGCTTTTTAGGTACCAACTCCTCATCAGAACTAGAGTCATGTTGGTTCATTTGTTCTGGTAGTGATTGTGTGTCTGATTTCTCTGGAGGGGTTTATTACCACAGGGTCCAATCCTTCAACAACACAGTATCTAATCTCCTGTTCAAGTGCTGGATGAACAAATAATTCCAGTTTGCTTGTATTCATTTTTCTAAAATAATATTTACACCTTAGAAAATTCTAAAACACAGAATAAAATACACCATCTAAAATGCCATACACAGAATGAGTAACACCTAATTGAAGTGTTCCCTAATATTACTATTTCATTTGAGTTGTACATGACAATGCCTATCACAAACTGTGAAGCAGAAAGGAATTTCTCAAAGGTATCTTTTATAAAGAACAAATTTTAGTCTACTATAACTGAACAGCACTTAAATTTTTTAGACCCACATCTATAGAAAATGACATTGCAAGGAAGGAAGTTCTCATATGAGAAAATTATATGTGAATATGTTGCTAGAAAAAAAACAGAAGAATACTTTATAAAATGTGCTTCATGCAGTATGTATACTCATATATATCCAAAATAAAAGATTATACTGTGCTCTTTGCTATGTTTTATGAGCTTACTACTTGTCACTTCATAGACAGCAAGACAATCAAATTTCAAATCTAACTTGTTTGTCCATTTAAAATACTACATTTATTAGAAAATATATTCAGCTTAAATATTGGAGTCATAAAAACGATTTCATAGGGTTGCACATTTTGACTTATAAGAGTTGTTGCCAGACAGAAAGAGAAATTAGCCCTCACAACAGCAATATCCATTTCAGTTTCATTCACATTGTGTGCGTATGTACATTTGTGTTTGCACATGTAATTCAATGATAGATCTAAAAAGATTCTACAAATTAAAAAATATTTATTGCCAAATAATTTCTGAAAAATTCACTAAACTCTTATAATTATTTGATTTTGGGGGTTTAAAAAATGAACACTTTTTCACAAAGTAATCAGTTGTACAATTTATTATTTTTTCATTCTACTTGTGTAATTTTTACTTGAATTCACTTTTTGCAGTTATGAATTTTTAAAAGTTTAACTAAATTCACTTTATCATCATAAATAATAAAGTGGACATTTATTTGTAATCATCTCTATCAGTCAGAGTCTAGTTACCAATAAATAGATATGAATAGACTGATATTGATATATGATTGAAATGAATAGACTGATAACCATAGATAGAAACAGAGCAAAATAATTACCAATAAGATAATAAAGTTTAATCACTCTAGGTAACAGAAAGAAAAGCTGATTATTTTTGTTTTTTCTTTATTTTATTTCACAACCATACACATAATTAGGCTAAGTTTGCTGGATACCCTTTTTTTTTTCTTGTTTCTAAATTTGATTTTTAGTTCTGCCCAGGGTAAGGATTGTCCAGACTGAGCAGAAGTGAATGTATTGTTCCAATGTCTTATTTCAAACTCAGTCAATGTATGTGTGTGTGTGCGCTTGTGTATATATTAAATGGTACAAGCACATGTAAGTCACTCACACACAACACAGACAAACACATACCCATTATAAATGCACATTCAAAGTTACATGTAGGCAATAGAAAGAAAATCAGCTCTTCTTTTATATGAATTTCATAATTCCATGACGTATCATGCATGTATAGAACATTTCTCTAATTTTCATTCCTCATAACTTGAAAACTATAAGGTATAAACTTGGAAATTTTTATTCACACCAGTGACTTTGACATGTGAGATAATCTAGTACAGAAATTTTAATCAAAATCTAAAATTTCATGTCTAAATTTTTAAAAGAAATTGGGATCTACGGTTGAATAAACTCACTGAAAATGATAACCTCACTGCTGATATGAAGAGGTTCAATGTATTACCCATTTTCAAGGACAACACCAAATGACCCTGTTCTCTGCCAGTTGGGCCTTGAGATCCTTACAACTGCAACAATGCCATTTGGACTGTTGGATGTTGTCCTGTTGTTGCTGGTTGTAAAGAGTTCTCCATAACAGTTCCAGCTTCAGGATCCTAAAAATGTAGGTCTATCATTGTTCACTGATATATAGGAGAATAGATATTACATAGCAGTCTACTCCTTTGTTTCTAACAACATTCTCCCCATTCCTTAATAGTTTTTGAATGGTATATTTGCTACTCCTAAGCACCTTTAGATTTCTGTGTTACACTTTCTGTCACCTATGTCACCATTATATAAATAGTTAAGTTTCCATGTTCTTGAAATATGATATCTCTGATACACAACTCAAGTCAGGCTGGATCTTTTGCTGACAACCATGCATTCTGTCTTAATGAAAGAACAGGGAGAAATCTTGAAGATTTAGAAAGATGAAGCCATTACAAAAGCAAATGCCAATTTTACAAAGCCTTTTTTTTTCACTATTGATTGAATACTTCTAAAAGCGAATGTAACAGTGACTTTCTTTTATTCTTTTAGTGATATGTGCATATATAAACAAATGAGTGTGTCATTTAACTTTTTTCACTGGGTAAGCATTGAATTTCTTTTTTAAATTCCATATCCCTTCATGACATAGGTAAGAAGGACTAACCACAGATTCATTTTATTCATTATCTATGAATTGCCATGACTTAGAGATAGCATTTGACTTGAAAATCAAAATTTGATATCCTGATTTTTACCAACCAATGTTACCAGTGGGGAAAATACTACTATCTTAGTTACCAAACGACCATTACAGACATAGATATATAAAGTAGTCATATTACTACTGTAAATGAACAAACTCAGATATATTCAAAATCAAGAAATTCCATATCTTTATCTTACAAGATTTATAAAAAAAAGAAAAATACATGTGGCATGATAAAGCAAAATTAAATTCTTTAAAAAAGTTAACCAAAACTAATTTTTTTTATCATTTCTTCCCAAGTAAGGCAATAGAGCCACTGAGGTGCAAGGATTACTGAGAGTGAAAGAAGATGAGAAAATTTTAGTAAGAAGGCAATAAAAAAAAAAAAAAAAAAATAGGATTCAGAAAACAGAAGATGGTGATTGACATTGCATTTAAACTTTTGAATACTTTAGGTGAAAGGAAAGCAAGAAGCCAAAACAGACTTCCGCAAGTAAGACGTGTGAGATGAAAAAATTTTAAAATAGAATTTACAGTTATGTCTAGCTATTCCAACAATAAAATGATGAGTCTTAGTTGCCAATCTAAGTACCATATCTAAAAGAGGAAAACTCATTAGGACAATTGCCATGAAATATTTATAGAAAAGGCACAGGGAAGCCATGTCATGGCAATGGGAATCTTAATCTATAAGGGAAGTTCTAACAATAATGTAAATAATAATACATAATAATCACCTAAACCTAAGTTTATAAAATTCATTACCATATTTTTCAATAAATATTCCATTCATCTGTGCATTGACTATTGCTGCCATATCTGGTGCTCCGACTATATATATCTCAAGATTCTTGACAAAATCCAGAAAAAGGTCTATTGGTCCTGACCTAGTATCTTGACTTCCCCACTGTCATAATATGGCTTCATTTGTCTTTTCTATTAAAAATATTACTAGTTTTTTTTCCAGTTCCATATATTAATGAAATGTTTTCAGAGCTTTTTTGAGACTACAAAAGTCAAATTCAAAGAAGTAAAATATCTCTTAATAATAAAAATAGAAACATCTTTAAAAATAAATAAGAATTTGCTGTATTTCCATTTGTCTTCAGTACAATTTATGGTAAAATATCATACAATAATAAAGATTGTAGCCTTTTAAATATTTATATTTGTTAAAGATAATTTAAATGTCTTAGAAACAAGGTCTTCAGCTTAAGAGATCCACTAGAGGTAAGTTATCCTGTTTTGAACTAAATATAATTAGGGCTGTTGATAGTTGAATAACTACCTCAAAATCTGAATTCAAACAGTTCAACAGTTCACCAACATGTGCAGGAGTTTCAAAAACCTGCCTAAACCAACTACAAAGCAAATGTAAATATCTACACTCCCATGAAGGCATCTATTTTGGGGCCAGGTGATCAAAAACAGTTATTTGTGTTATTGTTTGGTGGGACTGTGTTGGTGTAACCAACTTTGAATTGCTACCAGTCATTGTTAGAATTACAAATAGATATCTATGGTCAGAAGATAGAGCATTTAAAAACTACTTTGAAGAAAAAGATCTTGCTCCATCTGATTACAAGCTATTCCAGAGTTTACAGAACAATCACAGTGTTGTATCCTTAAAGAGGTTACAGACATAGGTGGTACTCGAATGAAGAAACAGTAACACATGCGTAGATGAAAGAAGAGAGACATTGTAAAAGAGAATACTGAAAGACAGGGAATCGGCTAACAATTCCCAAAGCAATGTTAGTTAGTTAGTTAGCAAGGCAGGATGTGGCACAAGACCGTTTTTAATGCAAAGCAAATCTGAGCCTGTAGACTTGAGCAA